CATCAACAAAAAGAAGGACAAAAAGGGTATGATCATTTCCATAGATGCTGAAAAAGCATTTGACAACATTGAACATCCATTCATGATAAAAACTCTCAACAAAATGGGTATAGAGGGCAAGTACCTCAACATAATAAAGGCCATATATGACAAACCCATAGCCAACATTATACTTAACAGCGAGAAGCTGAAAGCTTTTCTTTTCAGGTTGGGAACAAGATGAAGATGCCCACTCTTCCCACGTTTATTCAACATAGTTCTGGAGGTACTAGCAATGGCAGTCAGACAACACAAAGAAATAAAAGGCATCCAGATTGTCAAGGAACAATTTAACTGTCACTGTTTGCATATGACATGATAATATACATAAAAAAAACCCTAAAGAATCCTGTCTAAAACTACTAGGGTCTAATATCTGAATTCAGAAAAATTGCAGGATACAAAAATACACAGAAATCTGTTGCATTCCTATACACTAACAAACTAGCAGAAAGAGAAATCAGGAAAACAACTCCATTCACAATTGCATTAAAAAGAGTAAAATACCTAGGAATAAACCTAACCAAGGAAGTGAAAGACCTATACTCTGAAAACTGCAAGACACTCATGAGAGAAATTAAACAAAGTACTAATAAATGGAAACACATCCCATGCTTATGGATAGGAAGAATTAATATTGTCAAAATGGCCATCCTGCCTAAAGTAATCTACAGATTCAGTGCAACCCCTGTCAAAAAGTCAACAGCATTCCTTAACGAACTAGAGCAATTCATATGGAAGCAAAAAAGACCCCACATAGCTAAAGCAATCCTAAGATGGAAGAATAAAGTGGGAGGATTACACTCCCTGACTTCAACCTCTACAAAAAGCCACAGTAATCAAGACAATTTGGTACTGGCACAAGAACAGACCCATAGACCAATGGAACAGACTAGAGAGACAAGATGTTAACCCAAGCATATATGGTCAATTAATTTACAATAAAAGAGCCATGGATATATAATGGGGAAATGGCAGCTCTTCAACAACTGGTGTTGGCAAAACTGGACAGCTACATGCAAGAGAATGAAACTGGATTATGGTCTAACCCCATACACAAAACTAAACTCAAAATGGATCAAAGACCTTAATGTAAATCATGAAACCATAAAACTCTTAAAAGAAAACATAGGCAAAAATCTCTTGAATATAAACATGAGCAACTTTTTCCCTTTGGGCAAGGGAAACAAAACAAAAAATGAACAAATGGGACTACATCAAGCTAAAATGCTTCTGTATAGCAAAGGACACCATCAGCAAAACCAAAAGGCATCCTACAGTGTGGGAGAATATATTTGTAAATGACATATCCAACAAGGGGTTAACATCTGAAAAATACAAAGAACTCACATGCCTCAACACCCAAAAAGCAAATAACCCTATTAACAAATGGGCAGCGGATATGAACAGACACTTCTCCAAAGAAGAAATTCAGATGGCCAACAGGCACATGAAAAGATGCTCCACATTGCTAATAATCAGCAAAATGCAAATTAAAGCCACAATGAGGTATCACCTCATACCAGTTAGGATGACCAACATAGAAAAGACTAGGAACAACAAATGCTTGTGAAGATTTGGAGAAAGTGGAACCCTCCTACAGTGCTGGTGGGAATGTAAAATAGTTCAGCCATTATGGAAAGCAGAATGGAGATTTCTCAAAAACCTAAAAATAGGAATACTATTTGACCCAGGAATTCCACTCATAGGAATTTACCCTAAGAATGTAGGATCCCAGTTTCAAAAAGACATATGCACACTATGTTTATTGCAGCACTCTTTATAATAGCCAAGATATGGAAGCAACCTAAGTGTCCATCAGTAAATGTATGGATAAAGAAGATGTGGTACATATACACAATGGAATATTATTCAGCCATAAGAAGAAAACAAATCCTACCCTTTGCAACAACATGAATGGAGCTAGAGGGTATTATGCTCAGTGAAATAAGCCAGGCGGAGAGAGACAAGTTACAAATGATTTTAGTCATCTGGGGGGCATAAGAACAAAGCAAAACTGAAGGAACAAAACAGCAGCAGACTCACAGAGCCCAAGAATGGACTAACAGTTACCAAAGGGAAAGGAACCGGGGAGGGGGAGTGGGAAGGGAGGGGAGGAGAGAGGAATAAGGGGCAATATGATTAGCACACATAACATAGGTTGGGGACATGGGGAAGGCAGTATAGCACAGAGAAAACAAGTAGTGACTCTATAGCATCTTACTATGCTGATGGACAGTAACTGTAATTGTGTATGTGGTAGGGACTTGATAATGGGGGAAATCTAGTAACCAAAATGTTGCCCAAGTGATTTTTTGTTAATGATACCAAAATAAAAAATAAATTAATATGCTAAAAAAACTCAACAAAATGGCTATAGAGTGCAAGTACTTCAATATAATAATGGCCATATATGACAAACCCACAGCCAACATCATACTTAACAGCAAAAAGTTGAAAGCTTTTCCTCTAAAATTGGGAACAAGGAAAGGATGCCCACTCCCCCTACTTTTATTCAACGTAGTACTGGCGGTCCCAGCCATGGCAATCAGACAGCACAAAGAAATAAAAGCCATCTAGATTGGTAAAGAAGAACTAAAACTGTCACTGTTGAAAGATGAAATGATGTTGTACATAAAAACCCTAAAGAATCTACCCCCAAATGACCAGAACTAATAACTCAATTGAGCAAATTTGCAGTATACAAAATTAATACACAGAAATCTGTTGCATTCCTATATACTAATGATGAACTAGCAGAAAGAAAAATCAGGAAAACAATTCCATTTACAATTGCATCAAAAGGAATAAAATATCTAGGAATAAACCTAACCAAGGAGGTGAAATAACTATACCCTGAAAGCTGCAAGACACTCATGGGAGAAATTAAAGAAGACACCAATGAATGAAAATACATCCTGTGCTCATGGATAGGAAGAATTAATTGTCAAAATGACCATCCTGCCTAAAGCGGTCTATAGATTCAATGAAATCCCTATCAAAATACTGACAGCATTCTTCAACAAACTAGAACAAATAGTTCTAAAATTCTTATGGTAGCACAAAAGACTCTGAATAGTCAAAGCAATCCTGAGAAGGAAGAATAAATCTGGGGGATTACACTCCCCAACTTCAAGCCAGAAGCCAGAGTAATCAAGACAGTTTGGTACTGGCACAAGAACAGACCCATAGATCAATGAAATAGAATAGAGAGCTAAACCCACACATATATATGGCCAATTAATATACAATAAGGAAGCCACGGATATACAATGGGGGAATGACAGCCTCTTCAACAACAGGTGTTGGCAAAATTGGACAGTACATGTAAGAGAATGAAACTGGATCACTGTCCAACTCAATGTACAAAAGTAAATTTGAAATGTATCAAAAACCTTAATTTAAATCATGAAACCATAAAACTCATAGAAGATAACAAGACAAAAATCTCTTGAACATAGACACGAGCAACTTTTTCCTGAACACATCTTCTCAGGCATGGGAAATAAAAGCAATAATGAACAAATAGGACTACATCAAACTAAAAAGCCTCTGTACAGCAACAGACACCATCAGTAGAACCAAAAGGCATTCTACAGTATGGGAGAATATATTCATAAATGACACATCCGAGAAGGAGTTAACATCCAAATTATATATAAAGAACTCACACGCCTCAACACCCAAGAAGCAAATAATCCGATTAAAAAATGGGCAGAGGATATGAACAGGCACTTCTCCAAGGAACAAATTCAGATGGCCAACAGACACATGTAAAGATGCTCCACATCACTAATCATCAGGGAAATGCAAATTAAAACCACAATGAGATATCACCTTATACAGTTAGGATGGGTAACATCAAAAAGACAAACAACAAATGCTGGTGAGGATTTGAAGACAGGGGAACCCTCTTATACTGTTTGTGGGAATGTAAATTAGTTCAGCCATTGTGGAAAGAAATATGGAGGTTCCTCAAAAAACTCAAAATAAAAATAACATTTGACCCAGGAATTCCACTCCTAGGAATTTACCCAAAGAAAACCAGATCACAGATTCAAAAAGATGTATGCACCCCTGTGTTTATCATATCCCTATTTACAATAGCCAACACATGGAAGCAACCTAAGTGTCCATCAGTAGATTTATGGGTAAATAAGATGTGCACATACACAATGGAATATTATTCAGCCATAAGAAGAAAACAAATCCTACCATTTGCAACAATATGAATGGAACTACAGAGAGTATTCTTCTCAATGAAATAAGCCAGGCAGAGAAAGACAAGTACCAAATGATTTCACTCATTTGTGAAATATAACAAAAAAACAAAACTGAAGTAACAAAACAGCAGCAAACTCACAGACTCCGAGAAGAGACTAGCGGTTACTATAGGAAAAGGGGGTGGGAGGGCTGGTAGTTAGGGAGGGAGAAGGGGATTAAGGGGCATTGTGATGACCACACATAATGTAGTGGGGGGCATGGGAAAGGCAGTATAGCACAGAGAACACAAGTAGTAACTCTATAGCATCTTACTATGCTGATGGACAGTGACTGCAATGGGGTTTGTGGGGGGGACTTGATAATATGGGTGAACATAGTAACCACAATGTTGGTTATGTGAAACCTTCATAAGATTGTGTATCAATGATATCTTAATAAAAAAAATAAATAAATTTAGGTATACAAGTGAATTTATTTGAAGAAAGATAAACAATGAAATTAGTGTTTTCCTCACATATAATAAAACTCAAAGTCATAAAGTTATGACTGAAATTTGGGAAATGTTGACTTTGCCCTTCAGCATGAGTTAAAGGACTTGTAAATATAAATGAAATGTTGTCTACTATGTAGAGATAACCCTAAATGTTCTCAAAGAAAGTTAAGCTGTAACAAGTATAGTTAATTCAGGGCAGAGAAAAGCAGCAGCATCTTAAAGAGATACATCTTTTCCTAATTAGAAAGCTGCAGAAAAAAAGAAATTTGTAAGATCATGCCTTCACCTGAAGAGAAACTATTCTCAGGCTGATTCAAGAAGTCACTGGACAAGGATTACACTCCTTTCATATGGAAGCCAGATGTCATTACGCAAGTAAAGCAAGTAAGTCCTTGTTCTGCCTCCTTGTTTCCAAACACCCCTGTGATAATTTGGCTCAGTAGTCAGGTTGATATATCTAGACTGCTTGGCAGTTACATTCCTTGCTTAAATAAGTGGCTTAAACAGTAGTCTGTGATGAACTTTGTAGTATGGATCAGCTTCCTGCTAATTCTATTCACATTGGTAAGTTTCTGTGTCTGAAAGGTTGAAGGACATGTGTACTGGGTGACTTCAACAAGGTACCTGCTCGCTTTGATCTGTTTGGGTGAGCAGCATGCCCAGAAAATCCCCACCTCTATGGCTCACCTCTCAACTTCCTTGCCTCTACATATTATTAGTGATTTGAACCAAGCTCTTCATGTTATTTAATGCTATATTAACATGAGATGGTTTGCAGATATTCCTTTAAGGAAAAAAGATGTTTATTTCTGCCTCTTATTTTTTATAATGCAAGTACTCGAAAATTTGCAAAAAATGTTGAGTTATTTGAGTATCCACCTGGCCTGAAATTGAAACATCAGACAAGTTAATTATTTCTCACTCAAACTACTATATTTCTTTCTCTTCTCTTCTTTGCCAACTTTTTGAATGAGGCATTTGCTCTCACTGCCTCCACTCCTTTAGTGCCAAATCTCTCCTCTCCACACCCCACCATCTGGCTCCCACCCCCATTATTCTGTTGAAACCTTCTCAAAGCTTTCTGACTGAGAGTAGAGTTTCTTAATCCTGGTTTCACTTGACTTGTCTGCAAAGTTGGATGCTTTGTTTTACACCCTTCTTTCAACAACCTACCTCCTTTCTTTCATGATATCCAGGACCTACTGTCTCCTCTTAATTTTCCTCCTGACAACTTAACCCCTCTTTCTCTGGGTGTTTCTTACTGGAAGCCTTTTTGAAAAAGAAATGTAACACGGCAGATAAAGTTAATCTACTCTTTCTTTTATTTTCCTTTCCTCCCTATTCTCCTCCTATTCTGAAGTTGTATTATCATTAATATACTTTTCTACATTTGTGTCTCCTCATTCAATGTAAACTATTTCATATTTTAAATTTCACATATGCAGAATAATAGTACAGTATCTTTTCATGTGTCTGTTGGCTATCTAAATTTGTTCTTTGGAGAAGTACCTGTTTATACTGTCTGCCCATTTTTTAATCAGATTACTTGCTCTTTGGGTGTTGAGGCGTATAAGTTCTTCATGTATAATGTGGATGTTAACCCCTTCTTGGATGTGTCATTTATGAATATATTCTCCCATACTGTAGGATGCCTTTTGATTCTGCTGATGGTATCCATTGCTGTACAGAAACTTTTTAGTTTGATGTAGTCCTATTTGTTCATTATTGCTCTCTTGTTTCCCTTGCCTGAGGAGATGTGTTCAGGAAAAAGTTGCTCATGTTTATATTCAACTTTACCGTTTGCTTTTATTGAATGTTATGTACTTGTAATTTATCTATTTTCATATATCTATATTTACACTCTAATTCCTCTACAGTCTTCTGTTAATGAGTTTCAACTATCCTTTAATATAGGTTTCACAGCAAATTGAGTGGAAGGTACAGAGATTTCTCGTATACCCCCACATCTACCTAACCCCCCTATTAACATCCTCCACCAGAATGCATGTTTATTACAATGAAGGAACCTATATTGATACATCATAATCATCCACAGTCCATAGTTCATGTTACCATTCACGTTTGGTGGTGTATGTTCTCTCTGTTTGGACCAGGGTACCAGCTATCAATATAGACCAGTGACTTCCGAAGCTCCATTAACCTTCGAGATCAACTGGGGGATGATTTAAGCAAACTCCATGCATATTTCTTATAAGTATAGAACTTCTCCAAAATCACAGTTGTTATTATTCCTGGAAACTTTCACTTGTCCCACCCCTTTTCTCCTACCAGAGTTGAGAATATTACCATTCTCTTAGTCACCAAAAACAGAAAACCTGGACTCATTTTTGTTCTTTACCAATTCTGTTTCTTTTTGTCTCATATTTAATTATTTCTCATCCTACTGATTCTGATACACAAACTATCCTTAAATTTTTTCTCTTTTCCATGTCCACTTTCATTGCCTTAGACCAGGCCTTCATCATTCTTACTTGAATTAACACCAATTCCTTCCAGATATTTTCCATATATTTAATTTTTTCCCATTATTATTTATCCTTCATCTTGCGCCAGTTTTATTTCTAAAACAAGATGCTGAGAATTTTTTCTGTAAGGAATAGGTAGTAAATCTTTTAGGCTTTGTAGATCATATGATCTCAACCCTGACATTGCAGCATGCTAGTATACAATAGACAATAAATAAATAAATGGATGTGGCTATCTTCTAATAAAGTTTTATTTACAAAAACAGTCAACAGGCTAGCTTTGGACTAAGGGCTGTGGTTTGCTGACTCCTCTCCTACAACATAACTTTGGATCATGTAACCTCCACCAAAGCCTATTTTCTACAGAACGTAATATTCACCATCCTTCTAAATCTGGCATCATCCCCAGTTTACCACTTAAGGTCAATTGCCTCGAACTCTGAAGTTCTTGTTTATATCTGATGGTATCTCCTGATCGGATGGAGAGGGGAACATGGTTCGGCGGCAGGTAGGCTTGAGGATTTGGTCATGAGAGGATGAGATTTCTTCCATGTGGTAGTTCCATATTCTCCATGAAGTAGGGGAAAGGACACTTGCTGAGAGAAAGGTGGAAGAGATGGAAGATTGAAGAGGATCCAGATCAATATGAGCATTGTGGGGAAAAGAAAGGTAAACTATTTGGAGAAAGGTAGCAGGATTTCTGGGTTATATCAGGATCAGAAGTGTGACCTGATATTTTTAATTTAGAGCGAAATTAAACTGAGAAGGTTTCAGCAGGTACTCACCTGATTATGTAATTTCTGTGATTACTAACACTTTCCTGTTTGGGTGCAAACAAGGAGAAAGTGAAGCAAGATGAATTCATGTATGGTTTTGTTAGGTGAGTTCAGTTGGAAGAGAAGTTGAAAGTATTTGCAAAGGGATAATAATAGAATTTGATGAACAGAATGGGAAGTGGTGACAGGAGGGGACTGTGGGTAAAAAGAAGGTGGTAGGATGAAAGGAACAAATGTCTGCACATTACTGAAGAACTATGTGGTTGTATGAAGTACTTGTATGCATAGGAAGTGAACTGAATGCCTAAGAAGCTGTAGTAGGAAAGTCAGATGCTTCTATTTGAATTTTTGGAAAGGTTTATGTTTTTCAAAAGATATAAAGGTCCAGGATGTGACCATAAAATGAGTGAGTCTAGTGGAAAAAAGAAAATGTCAATGGAATATGGAAATCAAGAAACTGAGAGGCTGGGGCTTTTGGATGGCTCATTTTTAGGTATTGAAATCACCAAGGATAAAGGAAGAAAACCAGGTGGAATGGAAGACTGTGGCAAACAGAAGGCCAGTGAATGAGTGTGACTAGAATGTTGGGAGTAGAGCATAGGAAACAGTGGTGTATCCAGGTGACATTAGAATTAAAAGTATAGTGACTTTTGCAGTAGGAACGGGGTGAGATAATTTAGAAGTAGCATCAGGGAGCAAGGGATGCCCATACCTCAACTCCTGCCCCTGACCTTGGCTCAGGGCACAGGTAGGTTTTAAGTAAGGTAAGGAGGTAGAGGAAATATTTGTAGAATGGAAACTGCTAATCATAGATTGGGGTCATAGGAGATACTGGAAGGGTTTGTTGGGGAAGGGAGTGAAGTCAAGAGGGTAAATAGAACTTGAGGGTTAAGAATTTTTGAGAAAAAGAAACTTAGAGAGCAGGGGACTCCTGCAGACTAGTGAGGTAAGTGGGCATGGGAGGCATGATGGTACTGGTCTTGAAAAGCTCCCCTTATACTCCTGGTGGTGTGTTAGCCTCAGGCATTAAGCTATGGTGTGGCCTCAGGACTAGTACTTATTCTGTCAGCAGCTGACAGTTCTAGAATCATCTGCCGCAATTAGTTTCATTACCTTGGACAAGGCACTAACCCTCTCAAAATCTTAGTTTTTCCGTGTTTGCAATGAGTTTGTCTAAATAATAACTTCAGGAATTTTAAGTATCGGAGAGAAACAAAATGGGCTGGTAAGTCTGCAATATTAAAAATAAATATTCATCTTGCAAGTCAATGGTCTATCAGAAGCTAATATTATGAAGAATGAGAAATATCTGGGAGTTTATACATCTGCTACATTTGACTTCAAAGCATATTAATAACCTCAACAAAACAGAGATAAGTGAACAATTCAGTATTTTTTAGAGACATTTGGTTATGTCTTCCAGCTAAAGCAAATATACTTTGTAACTCATAAATATGAATTAGTAATAGATTTATGATATCCCAAATGCCAAACAGTAATTAAAGTTAAAACCAAATTGCAAACTCTTATCTCTCACTCTCCTTCCATTCTTTAGTCCCTCCTGTCCGGTTTGTATTATTAGTTAACTGTATTATCATTATTATTTAACAGTAGAATAGTGGATGAATTAGGCACTAGAAAGTACACAATCAAATTAGTGAAGGAAATGAGTCAGGAGTTTCATTCAATCAATAATGAAAATGCTTCTTCATAATTAATGTTTAGATGAATTTCCTAACTCCTAATTAACCTACTTAGTTAAATTGATATAACCTTAATTCAGTCAACCCTGTAACCACACTCATAACCTACTGGCTAAAAACTGCTTATATCAGTCCAAATTTTGGAACAACTTTGGTTCCCATCAGACAGTGAATCCTACCAACTAAGGAGCCACTCCTGAGGTCTTGATATTTAGCTGAGTTTGTGTCTTGGTAGGTACTTTGTTGAATGGCTTAGACTCTTCTGAGAGCTAGGTCTCTAAGGGAAAAGGCAGCAAAGCTTCAGCTTGGTTGAGAAAGGACATTGCATAAAATCAAATGGGGTTATGTGGACATTTTTATTTCTTTTTTGAGAGTAAAAATGGTGTTTATCTTGGAGCTAAAAACCTTAAATATGAATTAATTTCATTCAATTAGACAAAAAGTTAAAAACTGGATTATTTCAGCAGTTGAAAAGTGTTTGCATACGTAAGAAAGTGGTTCAGAAGTTTGTCTTGGGATACTGAATGTAATTTAAATTTTTGAATTTGAGAAATATGACATTAACTTATTTCATACTAGATTTTGTACTTACAGTTTGGATAATTGGCTACTAGATGACATGGTTGTGATGTGCATAAAGGTCACAAGACACTAATGGGGCATTCTGTAGGCATAGATAATAGAAAGAGCCAATGCATGGAATTCTTTGCTGTACAGTTTAAAAGCACAAGTTATGTATTCGTTTTTTGTAAATGTTAGAGATGCAAAAAAGAATATTACACGATCTCAGTCACCAAAGAGATGATTGTCTTATAGCTAGAAATGTAAGTGGTGTTTTTTATTTAAGTGCTATAATAGAATGTGATAAATGCTACAGATGAGGTCTGGTGTTTGGAAAGAAAGGCTGGAAACACCACCCTGGATTAAAGATATTTGGGCAAGCCCAATGAACAGCATTTGAATATGTACAGTTGGAGCTAAGAGAATACAAGCTGAATTTTGTCTTGGCAAATAAGGGCTAGAGAATGGGGTAGTCAATAGTCAGCACTGTGGAACATGAGGACCAGGGCTTGGATCTTAGCTTTGGCATTTATTAGCTGAATGACTCATTCTACTTTCTAAGTTTCTATTCCTTTAAAATGAAGAAACTTGTTGAAATTATTAAAAATGTGTGTTAAATGCCTGGAACATAAAAGGTGCTTCACAAATGTTGTTAGAGTTCTAATTATACCTCTTGTTCCACAGCTGTCTTTGCCCCTTTTGGAAAACTGGTTAATCAGGATACAACTATGTTGCATAATGCTGAAAGTAGAAAGACATGAATTGTGGAACGAGAAGAGGAAAAGTGAATGACAAAACACAAAACTTTTGCAAGATGGCATGGGGGACAGAATCTCCAAGATTTCTAAACAATATTCTTATCTGTTATGGAGGAAATAACTGATATTTTTACAAGGATTCATCAGGCTTGGGGGTGAGGAGGGGAGAGATGCTGCTGAGATTAGCCAAATATAGTCTGGTTAAGTCCAACTCTACCACCCCTATACTACACAGCTGAATGGTATCCAGCACACAACCATGCCAGCTGCTCCCACTTGCTGTCATAACCGCTGCCCATCAGTAGGTGACATTGCCCTGTTCCCAGTCCATACTTTCCTTGTTGATTATTTCATACTTTCTGAACCTCTCTTCAAACTTTCAAGGCCTCCTCCACTGTAGGCACCCTTGGCTGATGACCTTGGTTCCTCTTTCACTGGCAGAAAAAAGCCTTCACAGGATTCTCACACCTCAGCTGCTCATCTTCTGCATCTATGTCCATATTCACTCTGCCTTCTTTCCTGTTAGTAAGAATGAACTTGAACTGTCTGTACTCTTAGTTAAAGCCAGCTTCTCATCTATGCACTGTATTCCATCCCTTTTCACCACTGAAGGCTTGACTCCAGAAATTCTCACCTATTCTCTTGGGTTATAATTATTCCCCCGCTTTTGAATCATTCCCATCAGCATGCCAACTGCTTTATTTCTCCCAATTAAAAAAAGTTTTACTGCACTAGCTTCATTTTTTCTCTTTAAAACAAAACTCCTTAAAAGAATTTTCTAAATTCACTATCTTACTTCCTGTACTTCCATTCTCTATTAAACTCAATCCATAAGGCTTTTACCACCTCTGCTCCACAAAATCTGCTCTTGTTAAGATCACCGATGCAATTTATATTACTAAATCCAATAACCGTTTCTCAAACCTCATCTTCCTTGAACTTTCAGCAGCATTTGACATGGTCTGTTACATTCTTCTCCTTAAACCATTTTCTTGGTTTCCTAGATACCACACTTTGCTGGCTTGCTTTCTACTTTGCTTATTCCTCATTCTCTTTTGCTGCCCCTCTACATGCTTCCTCTCCCATCCTCTGCACTTTGCAATTCCTGTATTTAGTCTTTAGACCTCTTGTCCATCTATACTCAGGCCCTTCATAATGTTATCCAATCTCATGGCTTTAAATACCATATACTGATGTTTTCCATATTTATCTCTAGCTTGAACCTCTATCCTGAATTCCAGGCTTGTTGCTAAACTTCCTCCTCAGCCTCTTCAGTCTTGGCCATTACTACAAAGAAATTGGGTATCTCCAGATTTAGAAGTAGTGCATTTCAGTGTGTGCAACTTTCCTGTTTCAAGATAGATTAAGCCTTATTGGAAAGATAATACTGTCTCCTAAGAAAAGGTGACTATTGCAAAATGTTCCTGTTTAGAAAAAGAAATTTTTCCTTACCCAAAGCCTTTAAATGTGGTTTATAAGCTAAGAGCTGGCACTTTCATTCAGTAAGTTAATTCAGTTTTTCAACTGGAATAACAAATTCTTATGCAAATTGTGGAAGAGTTTCAATGTGTATGTGTTTATATTTATACAAGTAGTTGATTATTTTTGAAGAAATATATATTTCAATATGTTTAACTTCTTTCACAATTTATTTATAGCTCACCTTTTTCAAAAAATGATTTATAGTTACTTGTGACTATAAAATGTGACCAGGTAGGATATATTGGAATGGAAATAAAAGAAGAGTAATGAAGGTGGGGTGCAAAGCAGTTACATATTGAAATATCATATGTGCTTCTGTGCTGGCCTTTGTCACATCTGCTCCTCTTAAAATGTGTAAGGAAAATACCTGCAGAGGGGTAAAGTGCTCCCCAAAATATAATTTTGGATCTATTCCAGTATATAGATAATCAGAAAATAATATCGAAAAGTTCTGCTCTGTGTAGCACTGCAACTGTTGATTTAGCTTGAAAACAATTTAAAGCAGTTATAACCAGATACTTGCTTCAGATAACCGCAAAAACAAAAATTTTTAAATCTTCCTTATCAAGTACCCATAGACCTGATTTTGAAGAGAACTACTTCCTCACACATCCTCCAAGATGCTCCGTTTGTTCAATGTTCACCAGGATAACTAAGGTAACTTGTATTGGCTTGTTTATAAACTAGTTAAAAGTTCAGGGACTTCCTCCAAAAGTAATTCTTTTCACATTTTAAAAATTGGTCTGTCACTCTCTTTTCTGGCAATAATGAGTTTCAGAACTTGTTGTTTGTTCAGGCTACTCTCAATTTGAGATAAAAATATAACCACATCATTAGCTGCTAAAACATTGTTCATCTTTCTATTCTATATGGGACTGTGTCCAACACATCTGAAAATGGCATCAGATCATTAAGAATCAAGTTATAAATAATGGTGGCATGATAATCTTGATTTACCCTTGTGGAAAATTTTAGCTCTCCTACCAGAAATCCATTTTTGATAAATTTAAGGATTGTTCTAGGCTACTGTTCTAGTTGAAGAATAGCTTGAACTCATTTTGTTGTTATGCAGTTTTTTTAAAAGCAGTATGTTTAATCAGTTACCAGTTACCTGCGTGGCCCCAGGATAACATTCATAAACCCACTGGACTTTTAAAGTCCAATTTTATCTAGGTTGAACTTAAAAATTTCCCTTTGATACCAGCTCAAGAGCTTGGTTTTTTTATTTTTTCATTTATCCACTCACCCTGACCCCCAACCCCCAAACTCCCTTTTTTGTTTTTTCATTTATCCACTCACCCTGACCTCCAACTCCCAGAACTACCATTTCAGCTCTACAACTTTGCTTTGTCTCCAGGCTTTCCACTGTAATAACAGTGGCCTTAACTGAACCACTTAACCCTTGCAAGTCTCATATTCCTCTGCTTAAAGCATCTACCTCAAGGTTGTGGTAATTAAATTAGTAGAATTTTTTTTTCTTCTATCCTCCTAGGTTCTCTGGCTGGGGCCCTGTAAATTGGACTGACAAAGGACAGATTAACTGGAGAAAAGCAAACAGGAGTTAATTAGCATGTGCATTGCGTGTACAGGAGCTCTCAGATGAGTAACTCAAAAGGGTGGTTAGAATTTGGAACCTATATACCTTAGTAGGGGAAAGGGAACAGGAGAAAGGGCACTTATTGACAAATAAATGACTTTTGGGAAAGGTAAATGTGTCCTTAGGGGAATATATGGGAGATATGATAATTTATGGCAAACTGTTTATAACTTCAGGGGGAAAATGTGTTCCTAGCCTGGGGCTAATAAACCACAAGCCACTGAAACCAAAATCAAACAAGAGAAAAACAAGGTGGGGAGAAGGCTTTTTGTTGCCTCCAAGAACCCTGGCTCCATCTACTCCCCCTCACCCATTTATCCGGCCGCAGCTCTCACTCCCCCATTACCCTCCCATTTCTCTCTCATTTTTGCTGGGCGGACAAAAACCTCTCTTGTCACTGTGTGTGATTGCCTATTCCCTGACCCCTTGTAAACACCTACTGTACAGAGATAAATTAAAGAGAGAATAGCTCCTCTCCACACCTTGTAAACACCTGTTGATATGGAGTTGGACCAAGGCGAGGCGAGAGATTCTAGAAATACTGCAGTTTTACCCACAGCCCACCCCTTCAGAAATCATGCCTCACAATTTACTCAAAATCACAGTCTGCACAATAACAACAGCAATACAAGCATGATAATCCTCAAGCCAGAGAATTCAGCTAGGTTCAAAGTCCTATTCAGATTAAGTCCACAACTCACCCATTCCACAGGAGGCCAGCAGCTGAACCAGTAGGGAGCTCCTACTAGCAGCTGCAGCTAGGGGGTGAGTCCAAACCACAAGGACTGTAGATAAACACCAGCGTAGGCAACTCTTGTCCATCAGGTAGGATCATGCAAAAGAGTGGTCCTGTAATAGGACTGGCAGGAATGGGGTAGATGTAGCACTACTGGAAACACAGGCACTGGCCACAATAGTAAGATACAACTTCCCTGCAAAGTGCTTTTATCTTCCAGCCATTTGGGTACTCTACCATGATCTTTGGGGGCTGCTCTGCTGTTACTCCAGAAACACACAGGAGGCCAGCTTCCAGGCCTTGTCCCCAAAGTGCTAGAGGGCCAGCCATCGCTGGTTCATGTGTTAAAGTGTCCAGGGCCATGTAGTCTCCAGGTTGCTATGGGACTCAGTCACATAATGCATTCCTGCCAGGCAGAGGCAGGCCTCACTGATGGACTACAGCCCACATTGTCTTCTGCCCTGGACTAAGTCATCTACTTCATCATTTCCTGGGGATGCCAAGGCAAATGGCCAACAAGTTGCTGGTAGAGGCCTCAGTCACACAGACTAGTTTGTCTGTTTTGCAGCAATGGAGTTAACTGCACATGTTTTATCCCAGCCCCAGCTGATGCCCTTGCATGCCAAGGGGCTCAAGGGCATCAGAATTTGTGCCAAATGTGGGATAAACATACTCCAGTAGCCTACAAGGCCCAAAATCTCTTGTAATAATGCCACAGTTATCTGTAAGAGAATCAGAGGGGAGCATAACATCATACACATCAGACTTCCCTGTTCCCAAGGGGGTTCAGGCTTATTCCATTTTGACAGCCCCACCCCTGTATAGGAGTGGGGGCCCCAGGATACTACTCCAGGTCACAATAAATTAAGGACACACACCAACTCCTGTGTCCACCAAAACCAGAACACACTATACACACATTCACTGGGGACTGATCATTCACTCAACCTGGAGCCTTTGTCTTAGGCCCCAGCCAGCCCCCCAGGGCAGGTGCCTCGACCCTCCTCTCAGTCAAACTGTAATGCCCAACTGTCCTCAGGCAAGGGTCCAGGTGGGTTCTGTATATCCTCCCCCAGAAAGTCCTGCAGAGACATAGGCCGAACATGGAGCTTTGCCTCCAGCTTTTGTGTCCTGGACCTCAGTGGCTAGAACCACTGCTGTGGCTTGAACCACTGCTTTTGGCTTTAATTGCTGCCAAAGTTAAAACAAGATCTTACTGGCCTTCCCATCAAGTTTTTCTTTCACTGCCCCCAGCTTTATCAAATCAACCCACATCTGGATGCTCAAGACCTTCGTGGGACCCTTTGCACCTCTCCTTTCAGTCGTAGCCCATACTCCCTTCCATGCTTTTATTGTTTCAACCTCCCCCAGATCTACTAAAGTACGACTAGCCTCACTTATGGGTCATCCTATGGTGGAGGCAAGAATAATCACTAGGGGCCCAAAGAGGGATGGGGGAGCTGTATGGAGCACCAGATTTCTCATTCCTACTGTGAACAACTCATCAGGGCACTGGGGGTCCACATTATAGATGATATTTTTCATGCCCAGCTCCTGTAACACCTGCTGGAGCTCTGCATACATTTTCCAGCTAGTGGCTAAGTATGGTAAATCACCCTGATTAGGCCAAACTGCCCTGATTGACTGCTATCAGCCAATCCAGAATCACCTGATTCCTTGTGGTGTGATGGGCACTTTGCAGCCACTGTCAGAGGGAGGGGTGAGTCATCAGGGAAGCCAGTTTACCCATTTTGGAACCTGACAGAATAATGCTTTCCACCTGCATATCCCAAAGACGCAAAAGCCATGTAGGCAGAGGTTCCAACACCTTCTGCCGAAACCAGATGCTCATGTCTACCAGTTCATCCTGGGTATAGGGGCGGAGCATGGAGTGCTCCACAACCTGGGGAAAGGGTTGCTTCTCCCCCTGAGGAACCCACAGTTGTTGCATTTTTATTTTCTTAATTACAATCAGTCAGGACTTTAATATGGGAGGGACTAGTGCTTTGGGCAGTGGCCTTGGCAACAGTTTGGCCCTCAGCCCCACCCCCTCATCCTCCCCTGACATCTCAGAGCTCTACCATTTCCACAAGCTAAAGGTACTGCTCCTTTCTTCCCCTCTCCCATGGCCTGGAACACATTGTTTTCTGCCTCGTCCTCCCTCGCCACTAGTGCATCTTTCAGCAGCGTGACCTCAGTTCTCAATAGCTGTCTCTTTCTTAAGGGTATCCCATAGCTCATTACCCAACTCCTCCAAGTGATGCTAAATTGCATCCCTCTCCTCAGTAACCCTTTCCACTACCTTGAGAAACAACAACCCCACAATCCCTGCTGACACACAGCCACTCAGGGCCCCTAAACAGTCTCCTATCTTATGGAGGGCTAAGTCCAAAACATCTGATGTCTCCACCCTTCCCCAGTTCTGGGGAGGAGCCCACTTATCTAGGAGGCATTTTACACTAGACCAGTTCCCCACTAGGGGCTTCCTGAGTGGAAGCCCCACTATCCACAGGGGGGCCCCCAAATGCACCAACCACTGGGGTATCCCCACCATCCATGGGGTTTCTGGGATCTCCCCACAATCTCTAGGGGCAGCTCACCCTAGCATTGCACCCAGGAAGACAGATTTTGGGTTCAGAGGTCCTGCCAACTATTGTCAGTTTCAACTCCTGGGCGAAAATGTGTTCCCAGCCTGGAGGAAATAAACCACAAACCACTGAAACCAAAATCAGTCAAGGGAAAAGCTGGATGAGAAGAAGGCCTTTTATTGCTTACAAGAATCCTGGCTCTGTCTACTCCCACTTACCTGTTTCTGCGGCTGCCACTCTCACTCCCTGTTTCTCTCTCATTTTGTCTAAGCCAAATACCTCTCCTGTCCCAATGTGTGCTTGTCTCTCTCCCTGCTCCTTGTAAACACCTATTGATATGAAGATAAACTAAGGAGAGAACAGCTCCTCTCCACATCTTACAAAACACCTATTGATGTGGAGATGAACTAATAAGGCCAAGTGTGAGATTCTGGAAATATTGTAATTTTACCCACAGTGTGTCTGGGTGTGGCACAGATTTCTTGTCTCCCAGAAGAGAATTAGAGTTGCTCCTTAGAGGGGATTTATGACAACTGAGTTCTTTTGAGAGGCTTGGCTTTTAAGCAGATAAGGGATTTCAGGAACTCAAATGCCTTGAGCTCAAAATAATCCTTATGCCAAAGTGGCATTATGGGGGACAGCATCTCTTGATTCCCTTTAATTTATAAGACCATGTAATACCCTTAGAACATTCTTGACAAATAGCAAACACTCTCTGGGTGCACACTGTTGTTAT